TCTCTCTCTCTTTCCCTCCCTCTCTATCTCTATCTTACGTCATTGTACACACGGGGGAATAAGTGAATTTGTTTTAGGCTCGATTTTACCGATTATGTATTGATTTGTCTTACGTATTTAAATACCTAAACAATAAAAAATATTTTTAAGAGTTAAGCTAATGAAGTTATTTCTTAGCACTGGATACAACCCTTCCTGCGCGAGTCCAACTCTCACGTGGCCGGTTTTTTTTTATAATTAGTTGTTAGCAGTTTGATAAAACTAGGACTTTTGACTAGTGAAATATAAAAAAACTTCAGTTATTGAGAATATTCAGTTGAGATTTTATACTTTTCTCAATTCAGAAAGCGGCTCTTTGTCGACATTTTTTCTTGTCAGACGCTTTTAAGATACCTAAGTGTAGTGCATATCATTAACTCTAAGGTAGCAATCCATTTTACTTGAAACAATTTACATGTAGTAAGAGTAAGTGGTTGAAACCATAATCGGGAATGATCATATTCCCGAATAAGGTTCATATTCCATTTTAAGTCTGATCTTTTTATTGTAAAAATACTAGAAAAGAAATAAATTGACCATAAACACAATTGAAATATGTACACGAATATTGATCAATGTTTCAATTTATTCCCCGACTGTATCTGCGCTGACGTCATATTAGGTTTACTTTCGTAACAGAAGATTGTAGGTACGAGTACCAGGTTATCATGATTTAAAGACACGATGTGTAAAAATTCTGGTTCAAAGATGAAGCAGCTACAGATAGACAAAGTTACCTGGAAGACACTCAGTGATATACGTCGCCTACTTTCATAATATTGTAATTATTTTCATAAAAATGAAACTACCTAATTATGAAAAAAAATTGTTCGTGCAATAACGAATATTCTACTTATCTAGAGGTCGCGATATTTCTTCTTTCTCTGCTTCTCTATTTGTTTAGATTAGATGAAATTGATTTTATGAGTACATTATTGAGTGACGTGTCGTAGCATTAATTATAAAGATTATTATTTTGGATGGGCCGTCTACAGTTCGTAAAGAGATATTGTACGAGCATTTCAGGCGAAAGTATTTAATCCAGTGCAGTGACTATAGCGTACTGTTTATTGTCTGTTTCCGTGCCTGATATGTGCGTAGCACGGGCGTAGTAATATGGCAAGGTATATTGGAAAGGGAGCTCTAATCTGAATAAAAACGAATTTTGGAAATAGTTTTAAAATAACGTTTTCGTGTAATATTTTGCATGTTCGAATATTTGCGTATGTATACATAACTAGATAAATTATTTCGCTGTACTGTGACGTAGGCACTAAATACCAGTAGATATAACCAGTCTGGCAAAATAATAGTCTTTGATTTAGAAGTCAATGAACTGAAACAGCTGATCATAATGTCGGTGTGCTTCGATAAATGGTATCGAAAATTTTGCTAAACTTCGATATTGTTTTTTTCAATAAATACAATGGCTACGATATAAAGGACAGCGTCCATTATCTCGGTTTTATGTATAGTCAATGCCATTTTCGGGGTAACGGGTTTTTTTGTAACACGCGGTATATTGAGAACTTTTGATTGCGATTTTGCTTAAATGCACACGAAAATCAATTAAATAAAAAGATAAGTTATAAAATTAAAATCCGACTACAACTAAATCTGTTTGTTTCTGAAAATTAGTAAAAAAAAAACGAATTATGAGTTTTAATTAGCCGATATCCTTTATCATGCCGCGTAATGTCAGCTTTATCATTATCTAGTACATTCACAACAATATACCTATATTGCAACTAATCCTCGAATTGGTATATTTATATCAAAGTAGGCACTTGATTTGAATTATTTAACAATATTTACCGATTAATGACTTGTTTTTCAAACAAGTTTTTCGGCGTTTGATTGATGATCTAGGGTAGTTAAATGTGGTACCTACAGTGTATTCACAAATAAATGCATATATTTGTATGTGAAATTTTAAATTGTAGAAGGCAACATTGGGGGAAAAAGGATAAAGATGTCTTGATACTTGTAATATTTAATATAATATGGTAAACACTTTTCAATATAGCATTGAACGTACTCCTGACTATATTCCTATTTCGGCAAATGTATCTTTGTGGGACATAATAAAGTGCACAACATGCACAAAAACACCTACACCTCTACACTATATGTATTACCACCATCTAATATTTTGACGGTACAGCACCCGGCCCAGAAAAAACCAATAACATTTTACCTGACTCGGAATCTAACACGAATAAATAAAAAAAAACTTTATTTATTTTTATTGCTAATCTCCGCTAATATTGCAACTGCTGTTACGTTTGAACATCTAAATCAAATCTGCTTCAGTTTATTTTCTTCTTTTCACGGTTCCGATTTTTATCCAGTGTACAAAAATGTTTTCATATCTTCTCCTTCACAAATAATTAGTTTTATTGTAGTTGTCAACACGCCAACGAATATTTATGAATTGAAAAAAATATAGATCAAGACTCGTCATTGCTAATTACTGGTCAATTCATAAACATACTTTAGAATAATAAAAAATTGTTGATCTTCAGCTTTTCACAAATTTTGCTATAAACATTAAAAACAATATTTCTCGCTAGAGCAATTGTTTTTTGGGCATTATCACTAAATAAATTATATTTTTTCACAATATTCACTTTGACTTGACAGTTGTCAATAGTAAACAATTTATATTGCTATATGAAAATCAAGATTGTGCTTTTGTTTTTTAGACTCAGATTCTGGTACACCTATAGCTTCCAGCATGCGTATCATGACAATATCGAGAAACGCTTACTCTACACTAAACTTTACTTTTCTTATTCTTCTTGTTTTATTAATGGCTTATCTGCACATTTCGCACAATATTGTCATTGTCAAGTGCTTAAATTAGTTAAATTAAAATAAATTGGTTTTTACATGTAAAATAAAAATGAAATTAATGACGGATAGCGATTTCACGGGTCAAGTTATCATATGGGTGCACCTGAAAAAGTGACATTTGGGTGTAGACAATCTTAATCCCACAAATTAAATCACTTTCAATTTTTCACAAATTTACTAAAAAAAATTCTAAAACTTTCCAAAACAACCGAAACTTCTCAAGTGGTGAACAGCTGCTTTGAATGTCTATGTATATGAAATGTATCGTTTGAAATGTTGCCTCGCACAGAAATTTGCCCACCGTAAGGTTAATTTTAATTTATGATACACTTAATTTGCCAAATTGGCTTTATGTGAAGTCTAATTTTCTAGCTGTAATATATGAGCCTTATACATATTGCCTTTTCAAAATACAATGTGAATCGACGACGTTGCTGATACAAGGTCAATATAAAACGCCTTTTAGTTTGAAGGCGATAAGAACTACTAAACGTATTTTCATGTTGTTTTTACTAAATAATAGAATACTTTGATGTAACTGATTAAGGTTTAGTGTAAATTTGTGAATTATTAATATGATTATTGGAGATTTCGAAAAAAAAAAATGATGACTTACATCTCTGAGATCCCAGGTTCGATTCCCAGCCGGGAAATGTAGAAAATGATATTTCGAAATTATCTCGAGTTTGGGTGTTGTGGTATCTACGATGTTCCAGTTTTCCGTAGTAAGAGTGCTATAGGTACTTAATTTGTGATCTAAGTAATGTACCTTTTGTGGTGTTGTCTAATAAGTATTTATTATTATTATACTAATTATACCAATATATGCCTCTTTGTTACTGTCCTAAATCCGTATTCGTTAGGTGCGAAGTAACGCAATCTATGGCAGCGCTCATGGTGGCCAAAAGTAGAAACATTGTGTACTATAATCTATCATACCATCCTATGTATATACTTGTATTGCTTTTTACTGAATTAATGTTAAGACTGTTTATTAATTATGATTTATAATAGAAAAGATCAATTAATGTTTGATTGATAAAACAATAAAATGGTCTAAAAATAGAATATATGGTTGGTATAGGTGTGGATGAAGCCAATGTTATGGTTGCGAAACAACAAGGCTGAAATGTATTTTAAATTTTTCTCTATGATAATAATATATTTTCATCAAACCTGTGATGTATGGACATTATATTTTAAGATAAAATAACATTCTGATCAATTACTTTTGTTATTATTATCATTATCTATACAAGTATTTACAAAATGCCTTTACAAAAACAATTTTTATATTTGTTTTATCTCTATTTTTTTTTATTTTGCTGCAATTATATTAATGTCAGTCATACTGATTATGAGTTCCAACAGAGATTAATTACCTACTCTAAACAACACAGATATTTGTAAAGTATCAAAGTTTTTATTTTATAGGTATTAAGAGTGATACATACAAACCTGGTTCTCGGAATTATACTCATTTCCATCTATAAACCATATTTTATTAACTACTAGCGATACACGAATAATAATTATATATATGTTTACTATTATAATGTAAATCGTTAAAGAACGTTAAATTTCTTGTTTTACAGTAAAATTGCAACTAAGAATGAGCTAAACAAATTCTGATATAACCCAAATGAAACTCATTTTTCAAATAAATTTTAATTATCTCATTTAATTCGAATGATTAAGAATGATTTTACAACCCTCTTTCGACCCAAATACACAGTAATTTTGTAATGTAAATGAATAGGTAAATTAATTGTTGGTTTTAATATTTTGTCTAATAAAATACGTTTAAAAAGCGTCAAACTTTCCGATGTTACGGAATATTTATCCTTATTTTGATAAAATTTTATAAAGTTAAATACCTTTTTATTGTTTTATGTTCTTTCTCTTACTTTTTTCTTCGGCTTTGTATAAATGTTCAAATTTTTGTATGTTGCATGAATGTTTCCCAACGAGGTCGACCGCTGTTGTGGTGAAAAAATATTTACATTACTGCAAATATTAAAAAATATATCTACTTCATCCGACGATCTCGTTGATAATTAAACAGATCATCGTCAGATAATAATTTTTGTTTTTCTTTTATTCAGATCAAAACCAAGGTTATCCGCAAGGTGGATACCCTCAAGGCGGCTACCCCCAAGGTGGTTACCCTCCTCAGGGTGGTTACCCCCCACAAGGTGGTTACCCTCCTCAGGGTGGCTACCCTCCTCAAGGTGGCTATCCCCAAGGCGGTTACGCGCCGCCACCGCAACCGGGCTTTCAACCAGCCGGCTATGGAGGTGCAGGTTATGGTGAAGTAAGTAGGGATCATTTAGGATATATCTACGCAATACGGAATATTACACAAAGCTCGTTGTAGATGGCAGCATTTACATATGTAGTAAACAAATATTTTTTTTCGAACACTTCTTTTGGAAATTAGTTCTTCCTATCCTGGTTACATCCAGATAGTGTCCAGACATTATGTTTTTTATTGGATAAGATATACACTCTTTATTCTAATTATATTTTTTTGCAATAATACAACAAAGTTGCAATAATACTTTACAGCCAATTCGTATGAAGTAGACTTTAGGTGTTAAATACTAGAATTACCCTTTAGTAACAATGGAATATGATTTAACGACCTTCGTAACCGAGTGGTTTCCACACTGATCGATTCGCAGTCGGCTCAATGTACAAAATGAAGTTTTCTTAGTGTTATGATGACGTATCAGATACAATACAACTGCTTTTGCTGCTTGTTATCTGAGCAGTGTATGTGATGATAATAAATAAATTAGACAGCATCACATACATTGCTTAGATTCCGAGATGAGTAGCTAAAGTCCCCCTATTATGGAGTATATGAGACATCGAAGGTACTCCATTTTCTACATTGACCCAATCGGGAATCGAACCCGGTACCCGGCGACACCTTGAAACTGGCGTTAGAACCACTCTTCTACGTCTACGTAAATCTGCAATGCTGCTTTTAGAAAAAAATTTTCAGGGTTTGCTGATAAATATAAACAGATATATCGCACACCTAGATCTAAACTGAGACAACTCAAAAATTTGAGTGAGTTTTGACTTTGTACAATATTCAAATTCTCGGTGATCATACGCATCTATCCAACATAACAGATTCACTAAAGGTTCGGGGATGAGCTGCTAGTTAACTTTAGCTTTCTTTTGTCTAATCAACAGTGGTCGCGTTCCTGCCACATAAACAAATGTATTGTCAGATCTCCACATTAGTTTTTTGAGTTGTCTTAGTTTAGATCTAGGTGTGCGATATATATCATGATATTTATCTTGATAAGTAGCTCGGTGGCGTAGTGGATTAGCGCCGCGGCCCGTGATCGTAGTCGTTAAACAACTTTCGCAAGGGTCGGTCACGGGATGGGTGACCAAAAAATTATTATCTCGAGCTACTTCGTGCTTCGGAAGGCACGTTAAGCCGTTGGTCCCGGCTGCATTTGCAGTCGTTAATACCCTCCAATCCGCATTGGGCCAGCGTGGAGGGTCATGGCCCATCCTCCTTAACCATCCATAAGGAAGGCCTGAGCCCCTGCAGTGGGGACGTAAAAGGGCTGATGATGATAACGATTGATATATATCAATTGATATTTATAATATTTATTGTTAGTTTTAGTATCGTGTCTCGGCTAAAAAATTTACCATACCGATGTGACGCTAGCACGAATAGTTAATTAATTTATTTTTTCTTAAAATTTAATGTTTATGTTCACGTTACAAGGTTTAGTATAGTAAATAGGTAATAATTTGCGTACTCTCCTACACGTTACTAGGAATCCTTGCACGCATACTACTTTTAAATGATTTTATAATTAATGAAAAAGTTATTAATATATTAAACTCAATCTGTATTTTACACTTTTAATTTAAAAGATCAATATTAAATAAATCCATTAGCAGGTTAAAAATTGTAGTTTTTCATATGCATGATATATATCCGATAAATATCAAATATCGGATATTTTGCGAACCATCATTTTTATAAACCTTTCGCAATAATTTTTAATAATTGACATATAATCTAGGATGCTTCGAAGTATGACAATGAAATTACTTAAGTGATATTAATAATTTGTATTGGTCATGTGAAATGGAGGAGTTAATTTTGGAAATGGAAGTGATCGTGACAATGAATGATGAGTGATCCATATAACATTATCGAATGACACCAATGATGATGATGCCTGTGGCAATATTGGTGAGAGTAGAAACAATACGTTATCGAAAAATAGAAGTCGTTTGCTGTCAATAAAAATGTTTCACACCGTCTAACACCCGTTTTCTGAATTTAGAATTTAAAGTTAAGTACGTCTCAAAGCCATTTCAAGCGTCACTTATATTACGCTTCTGATTTCAATTTTTTTAATGATCAAATTTGATATAACTAGTCTTTTTTGCCATGTAAAACGTAAAAAGCTTAAGTTATTGAAAATAAACAGTTAAGATTTCGTACTTTTCTTAATTCAAAAACCGGCCGTCATCCAGTTAATTTAAATACCGGAAAGGGTCAACCTCTCGAAGATAATAAGTTGGAAATAGCTGGCGTTTGCATTTCCAATGTTGTCCCAAAAATCTTATAAAATCTCGTGTTTACGTCGTTAGTTGTTCAAGATGATTCTTTTCCGTTTCAAGTGGTTATCTCTGTTTTTACAAGCTTTTATTAAACAGGCCTTGTTATTTAGTTAGGTAGTTCGAGTGGGTCAAATCTTGCAACTAAAGAAGACCCGTTCCTCGCTTTTTCATTGAACTGAAGTTTTACATGCATACATAATGACAATGCAAAGTCACTCTTTGTCTATAAAAAATCTATGCAATGAGGATGACCTAATGATGGAGTGGGAAAATGGCAAGGACTTTGAAGCGAACAGGGTTACCATATCTCAGGATTTTTTTTACTCTTCTCGGGATTCCAGTCGGATTTCGCAAATCACAGGAAATCTCAGGTTTTTTAAATTTCTTAATAAAATATAGTACGTTTTAAAGATCTCTTTAATAAAAATTTATATATACTAAAAATAATCTTCCTAAACTTGGTAGTATAGGGCTTAGGAGGGAGGTACCGCTGCTACCACCGCCCCGATATAAGCGCGATGTGCAACAAGCGAGCGAGATCTCTCGAGATCCACAGTGTAAAACGATAATAATTTGACTCCTTTAAAGGATAATTATTAAGTACAATTGAGATAACAATCTCAAACTTCAACAAAAACTCAGGATTTTGCAATGGTAATCAGGCTAGGTTTTTCTCTGGACTTTTTCACCTGGCAACCTTAGATCTGAAACAATATCCAGAGTCTGATGATGAACGTGGAAATAGGAACTTTCGAGTTTGGTTTCGTTTAATTTGTTAATACAAGATATGTGGTCCTACAAAAAATTGTTTTTAAATAGAAAATTTGTTAGCTTTAAACCCTTAATATGGTAATAATAGAAGATGGATAGGTCAGAAATATTGACATTATGTATTTGTTGAAGCAAGAATTCGAAGAAACGTCTCATTCATAAGTCTCGTATGTTCTGTCAAAGGATATACAATGAAATTGCTTAATTGGGATCTCAAGGGACCAAGGTTTTTATACCATTTAAAGAGATTGGCATTTATCCAGTTTTCCAATTAGTCAGGTTTAAAATTTAGTTGTTTCATTTACAAAGACCCCCGCTTATAGAAGTCTAAATTTACCGTTATATAAAAAAACAATACAGTAAAGTTTAAGACTTACAGTCATCGGTTATATTTGTATATATCGTATTTTATTGCTAGTGGTTTGAACCTGTTTCTCGATAGAATAAATTTAATAAATAGATAGTACTGACAAACAAAGCACGTGCGAAAACAATTCAAATGTTTGTAAACATAAACATAATAGAAGATTCTCATTAATCCAAGTCCCACTTAACCAGGTTTTAACTAATAAGAGACAGGTAATTCTGTCGATTTAATTTAAATTTAATTTGTCACACCGCGTTGACAATTCTATAAATAAATCAAGATAACAGAAGTAGGTAAACTTATCTATACTAATATTATAAAGAGATAGTTTCTACTGTTTGTAGGGGGTAATCGGAAGTATTAATCCACTAAAATTCTTTCACCTACGGGAAGCATCACTGCTGAGGCACATTCATTTCCTATAGATGGAATCGCACCAGGGAGTATCCAATATGGATTAGTTGTGGGGTATTAAAGACTTCATATGCAGCCGGGTGCTTTAGAAGCACGGGAGAGCTCAAGATTATCAATTTTTGATCACCAATCCTCTATTCAGATTTAATGAAAGTTTCTTACCATTCCATCGCAGACCAAACGCGCTAACCACTGCGCTATCGAGCTTCTCCATATTATAGTTATAAAGGATATAATTAATGTCTTATTACGTGTAACAGCCAAATAACGTCAAGGATTTATTATTTTATTAATATCAGTTCGTTCACTCTGTTACTACTGTGAAAGTGGTACCATTCGAAATTTAAATTCTATTTTGTACATATACTCGTATCTATTAAAATTTACTTAGATTTTTTTTTCTATTTGCATTATCCAAAGAGTTTACAAAGGTCGTTTTCGATACAGCCAAGCGTGCTATCAGTTTATCTGTAGTTATCGCCGTGTCTGCACGCAGCTGGCAAAACAAAGTTTTTATCAGGTGCCTGCTAAAATTACTGGTGCTGTGCCGTCATGTCCCAAGCTCAGGTAAAACTGAGAAAATTCTGGCAACATTTACAATGCTAATGTATTATGAATAATGTAATTTATAATAATAAGTACCATCTCATAAAATATAAATATACTATTATTATTGGCCGATAATTTTTATTGTGGTGATAATTTGATTGATTAATGATTTATCAATTATTACAAAAGTAATTATTTATGTCAAGCTTTCTTTTTTCTAATAAGGATATTGCATAACAGGTGTAATTACTGGATTTATAGATTTATTTATTGGCTGACGCTCATTACTGCTTATGTTGACTTAATTATAGCATCATGCTATCTCAGCTTAAAACAGTAGTAATAAATGGTCTATATATTTACAGAACACCAAAGCAGCTCATGAATCGTCTGATTACTGTTACGTATACTTGAAAAATGTACAAATATAATTTTTATTTCATATAATCGCGCTTATAACACATTATGCTTAATGGCCTCCAACGCCTTAAAAATAGGCATTGTCGTAATTATTTTAGAAGGACGACTAAATAAACTATATTGATTATTTTTTCTTTACAGCCACCAGGCTACGTTCCACCTGGCGTCGGCGAGGATGGTGAAGTCAAAGGCTTCGACTTCAGCGAGAAGTCAATCAGACGATCATTCATCAGAAAGGTATTACTACACTCTTACCCTCACCCTTAAAACTATGGTGATACATGTATCGCTATCCTAAACCTTATAGCATTTACTAATCGTGATGTCTTTATAGCAATTTTTAAACATCTAATATGATATTTCAGGTGTATTCCATCCTCATGTGTCAGCTGCTGGTGACTCTAGGATTCATATGTTTGTTTGTATACCACCAACCGACCAAGATATGGGTGTCAAGAAACCACTTCCTCTTGTAAGTTAGCTATTAAATATTTGTTAAACAATACAAGAGTAGCTCGGTGGCGTAGTGGATAAGCGCCGCGGCCCGCGATCGTAGTCGTTAAGCAACTTTCGCAAGGGTCGGTCACGGGATGGGTGACCAAAAAATTATAGGAAGGCACGTTAAGCCGTTGGTCTCGGCTGCATTTGCAGTCGTTAATACCCTCCAATCCGCATTGGGTCAGTGTGGAGCGTCATGGCCCATCCTCCTTAACCATCCATAAGGAAGGCCTGAAACAATACAAATTGATGAAACAATACAAGTTTATTCCTTCGATGAAAAATACTATAAAAGAATACAAAACATAATGTAATATATAAGAAAACTAGCTTTCCGCCAGCGGCTTCGCCCGCGTGTTCCTCTGGTAACTAACTAAGAGATCTAAACTCCCCTCCCGCAAGCGCACCCCCGCCTTCGTGACGCCCACTTCGCAACGGGCCGTGCAGCAGAAATCGTAATATTTTAATTTCGCACTAACTTCAAAACCAAACGTCCAATTTTAATGATTCAAAGACCAAATATTATCTACATAAACTGCACTTAGTGACTAAATAATTTATTTTGATAAGGATTAATAGCATGAGTAAAATAAACGCATTTAAATGTAGTCCAAAAAAAAAGATTTTTAAATAAAAAAATGGTTGTTGTGCCTCACTCGACATAGATAGGTATAGTGTATCGCGGACTTTTTTGTAGATATTTATAAGATCTACAATTAATTAGAATATTTTATGGTTCTATCTTTTATAGTTTAGGCAGTGTACCCAAAATAAGTAACTTTGCTGATAGATTTTTTACACCTTATGTCCGAAAATCCCAAATATCTTACGGAACACTATTTTTTTTGATTTCAAAATACAATATAACCTATGTTACTCGTGGATAATATAGCTTTCGAATGGTGAAAGAATTTTTTAAATCGGTCCATTTGTTTTTTAGCCTATTCAATACAAACAAACAAAAATTACCTTTTTAGAATATTAGCGTAGATTAAAAAAATAAATAGATATTACTGAATTACTATACTGTCGGTAAAGTAAGAACATTTTAATTTTGATTAGTGCTCAAGTAATAAGTGTACCTTATGTTTTATAGCTCTTAATCACCAATTGACTAATTAGAGAATCAAAATTTCGCTACTTTAAAGCTACCTAAATTTAGATCTTAACTATTGTGACAGTCTCGTTGGAACCATTTTACTTGATTTTTGAATTAACAGATCTTATGAGAATATCTCTCTTTAATATCGCAAAGCCGAGAGGTCTTTTCGATATTTAAAGGGATTATACATTGGGACACATTCAGTTTTTAGAAAATAAATCTTTGAAGGAAGAAGTAACCTGTTAATTTTTTTATTGCTTTTCTAAATAATCTTCGTTACTTTCTAAGCACTGTCGCGTGAAAGGAAACAATCACGGGATTTTTAGGGTTGCAATGAATCCTTTATTTTTGAAAATTTTGAGCAAATCACAATAACATTAACTGCTTAGGCCTACACAATCGGTATCTAAGTAGAAACAGCGTAATTTTTATGTGTCCAAACTTCATGGTTCGATTCTGACCATTCCAAATATTAATTACAACGTGTATATCGAAATTTGATCTTTTAGGACTTTGTATTAAAGTCGAGTTTTGTTGTTTGCTTAGTTACATCGCGCTGGTGGTAGTGTTCGTGTGCCTGATAGCGATGGCGTGTTGCGAGAACGTTCGACGCACGTCGCCGATGAACTTCATATTCCTGGCGATATTCACCGTTGCGCAGAGTTTTATGCTCGGCGTCACAGCCAGCATCTATAACAGCGACGCGGTACGTACATTCATATACATGTTACACTCGAAGATCGAAATCACTCATTGAGCGATTTCGATCTTCATGTTCACAAAGCGTTGTTACAATCGCAGAATATCCACATAGCGAAATTATGGCTCTTATGGAAACGCTGACGACGCGTTGTGGCATTCACATAATGACCACATAGTGAAATCCGTGTCGCTGCTATCGTGATATTCGACCGCAACGCTTTGTGTCAATGAAGAAAAGCCATTTTTTATTAGGTCAGATTAGGTTAGGTTAGAGTATGACGGGCTCGGCTGCCGCACACACCGCCGATGAACCGATAACCGGCCTGGCTTCTGTCGGGCTGGACATCGATGGTAACCGGGGCTTTTGGGGGAAGGGATTTGTGAGGGTTCAGCCCAGGTGAATCCGTCCAGGAGACGGGTAAGGGCTAGGGATGTACAGTCGCGCATCTTTAGCCTTTGACGGAGGGCAGTTCGGTGCGATCGCGCGTTCACTGGGCATTGCACACCCCTTGTTCTGTCTAGGGGGATGACTCGAATGTTCCTGAGCCGTCCCCTTACCCGAAACGTGGGACTGCGCGGAATATGGTCTCTTCAGGACCCATGCCGTGCTCCACTTGCGTGCGAGGGATGTCGCAGTTTTAGTGGGTATAACCCCCCCCCTGCGCTGTTTGACTAGTCCCCATTGTGGGGTGTTTGCGCAGTGGGGAGTTCGACCTAACTTGTGGATCCTGCGCAGGGTGAAGCGAGTATGCGTAACGCATTTCTCAGCGTAAAAAAAAGTTGGAGTATGACAAACAACGCACGAGTCTAGCGGTCGACGAAGTGCCAGAATCGAATCGCTATTGTAAAATGAAACAACTTGTTAAACCGATTAATACTCAGAATACGTCTTCGCTTTTCTTCATTACCACAACACGTTGAGGTCGAATAAATTGACATGACACGCGGTTTCGCTAAGTAGTTATTCTGTGATTGTCACAACGCGTTGTGAACTATTTTTTCGCTCAATGAGCGAATCTTTTAGCGTAAACCCGGGATATATGCCTACCTTTTTTATTTCTTCGTTCGTCACGATTACCGTAATGCGCACGTTACAAATAAGCAAAACGGGTGCATAACAGGCATGTATCATGTTCACGAACCCATTAAAATGTATGGAAGATTTTGAATTACACCATGGTCAGAAAGGAATTAGTATTTTCAGTAGTATATAATGATGATTTTAGCGCCTAATGGTGCGACCGCCTAGCTAACTAGCTATGATTCTAGTCATAGCGTACACGTCTTATCGATGTAATGCCGATATTTCGTTTCATTTTACTACTTTGACATGTACAGGGGGGTTTACACGGGTCGATTTTCGCCGTGCGGCGAGTCGCTTCACTAATTGCCTCACCAAGCCGCATCGCTAGCCCATTTACACTGGTTACTAAAATCGCATGCGGCTCTGTCATTTCCATCGAAAATGTTGAGCAGAATAGCCATTTGTGCCGGAATTGAAATAATTAATTATTCAATTATTCAACAATTGCTTAAAGAACAAAGAGTGAAGAAAAAACAAAAGGAAAGAAGAAAACGTAATGTTTGGGTACGTGGATGGATTTCTCGACGTAAGGACTTGGGTGCTTCGGATACTTTATTGGTTGAGTGGAGTTTAGAAGATCCTGATTATTTTAAAAAACGATTAAGAATGACTACTGATCAGTTTAATACTTTACTACATAAGGTTACTCCGCTTATACAAAAATGCGATACCAATATGCGAGTAGCACTTTCTCCGAAAATTAAATTAGAAATAACTCTGAAGTTCTTGGCCACCAGTGATAACTATTCAAGTCTTGCAGAGTCATTTAGAGTTCCAGAATGCACAATTTCCTTGTTTTTGAAGGATGTTTTGGATGCTATATACAATGTTTTACAGGAGTTCATTATGGTAAGTGAAACTAGTAATTAATTATAAACGATTTATTTATAAATTTTCCATTGTGTTTTCATCTAAGCATGACCTAACAGCTTGAGATAGAATATCGTCGTTCACTCCGTATTGTTGCCCAGTATTTTCTTGTGTAAGTAAACAGCTGGCAAAATAGTCTTCTTCATAATCGAGGTGCCTTCTAGAAGTGGAAGCTTCGGGAGTCGAAGTTTCACGCTGGTTTTGAAAAGCTTGGTTTCGGGAAGTAGTAGCTTCGGCTTCTGGAGTCGAAGTATAGCGTGTATACTCTGAGAGTGAACTCGTAGGTCTAGCAATTGGAAAATGTTGTGTATTTAAGGTTTTCAGTCTTTCTTGTGACAAATAATTATTGATGAAATTTTGACAAACAATAGCATTTCTTAATGGCAAACTACGTAATTGGCTTGCCACATGTACTCCGAATGTATCAAATTCATCTTGACGGATAGTTTGAGCCAAAGTTTCTAATCTATTAACTGCTTGTAAAACAGGTGGGTCCATTTTAGGTGCGTAAATTCGAGCACGCTCCGCCTTTTTCTTTGGAGACAATTTTTTTTTCTTTTGTAAGGGCGCAATATTATCTTCTTGTTCCAATTCATCAAAATATGAAGACACGTCGCTGTTTGTGTTCACCGCTGAATCTTTTCTCTGTAACCATACACTAATATAAGTTTATTTCTTTTAGGTGCCATCCACCACAGATCAATGGAAGAAAATACAAAAGGATTTTTTAAATCGCTGGCAATTTCCTTTTTGCTGTGGGGCTATTGACGGGAAACACGTATTAATCGAAAATCCACCACACGGAGCATCAGACTATTATAATTACAAAGGCACTTATAGTGTGGTGTTGTTTGCTATAGTGGATGCACATTACCGTTTCATATATATATAGATTTCGGAACTAATGGACGCATGAATGATTCGCATATTTGGAAAAAAACAAAGTTCTATAGTGCCCTTGAAAGAAATAATTTAAAACTACCTAATAAGGCAGTTTTCGTTGGTGATGATGCTTTCCCTTTGGCAACCTATTTAATGAAACCGTATTCAAGACATGAAGGTTTGGAACACAAACAAAAAATCTTTAATTACAGACTATCAAGAGCACGCCGAATCGTAGAGAATGCCTTTGGCATAATGGCTTCACGATTCAGAGTATACAGAAAACCTATATCTGTTTCATTGGATAAAACTGATTCTATAATTAAAGCGACCTGTGCGCTGCATAACTGGCTTCGGACTAATCTCATATACATGAATACTCCCGAATTAGTAGACGGAGAAGACTTCAGTTCAGGGACAATCAGAAACGGAAGTTGGAGAAGCATTCCTACGGCAGGAGTAGACGAATTAATGACACCGCTATCTTCTAACAACTATTCACGAAATGCAAAAGATCTGCGCGATAGATATGCTGACTATTTTGTCGGACCAGGAAAAGTTTCATGGCAAGATAGAATGATTGCGTAAATATTGTATGTTTATTTAAGTAATATTATAAAAATAGCTCTGTTCACGATTTACCTATTATAATTTATAATATGCGAACAAGAATAACTATTTAATAAATAATAATAAGACTTACCATGTTATCTTTACTGTTTCTTCCTTCTATCACTGGCTTTAAAAAGCGGTCAGCTACAGAAAACCAAATTAATTGAGGTCTGTATATATCATCCTTTCCCGCGCCACTCTTCTTTGACTTTGCTACCTTACTGGCCTCTCTATTATACGTGGTTCGTATATTTTTTATCTTCAATTTAAGCTCTTCAACTGTTATGGACAAACGCATTTCTTGAATAATAGATTTAAGAGCCGCTAAACGTACATTATTGTTCCTGTAATCTTGTTCTCTTGGGTTCCATAAGCATGGATGCATTTCATAGCATTCCAAAAACTGTATGGTGTTATTTTTATTCATGGTTGTTACGATACATGTACACAGAAACGCTGTAGTAAATAAATACACGTGCGTGCGCGAAACACCTTCATGCGGCGGGCGATCGCCTGCAACTGATCGTTTACACGGTCGATTTTAGTCACCAGTCGCATGCGGCCGGTTGCCGCGCGGCCAAAGTCGGATGCTACCCAACTTTGGGGCTTGCGGCTTTAGTCACTTGCAACTTAGCCGAATTGCCATTTAGATGGTCGATTTACGCCGCGCGGCAAAAATCGTGCGGCTTTAGTCACCCGTGTAAACCCCCCTTACTTCAGCAACGACGAACAAATGATAAAGAATAATTATTATGTATTTTTCTTAATGTTTCTTGTTTTTATTAATGTATTATTTATTTTTTGTTGCGTTGTTGTGCCAGTTTCAGCTGCTTATACTGAGATGAGATTGCACTCGAGCATAAAAGCAATTTATTCTAAGTGCGGCAGCGTGTTATGCTAGTCCGGGGGATAAAAAGGCGAAGTTTTACAGTACTTGTGTTTTCAAAAGGGTTACCCTCATAGGGTAGAGTGAACTTTCCATTTCTCATAGGTTTAAACCACAATCATGTAGCAATGTAAAAATATCTTTAAAAGTGTAATGTTCTCTGTGCAGGTGTTGATGGCTATCGGTATAACGATGGCTGTATGCTTGGCCATAACATTGTTCGCGTTCCAAACTAAATGGGACTTCACCACCATGGGCGGAGTACTAGTGTGTGTTCTAGTCGTGTTCATGCTGTTCGGTGAGTTTACTTATTTTATAATAAACAGAGTTTATTTTTTATTCTTTTATTTTAAGGGGTTTTAATTCTTTTGAACATGTCAACAAACAGATTTTACTATCAACTTATTTATTTAAAGTTCATTATGGCTCGGAAATGCCTTCTTATAACAAGAGTCTTTTCATATAAATAACGGAATTCCAGAAAATTCGTAAATGCAAAACCCTTAGCATGTGATATTTGTTTTAAGAAAAATCCGTAATTATGGGATTATATTATTCATGTGTATTTACTTAGTTTATTTTTAGAACCCCATGTATTTATGAGTAAAAAATTTGTTCAATAAAGCTGAACCATTTTTTAATTAAGATAAAGTATTTTAAAAACATAAAAAAAGTCCATAGACTAATAATAATTTTCTTTCTTTAAAAAAAAATAACTAAACGCCATCTGTTGACAGTCTAAAGTAATGAAGTCTTGTCGAATAATGATTTGATTGAATGTTCCTATTAACTCGTCAGGTCTGATCGCTATCTTCTTGCCGCGCTCTCGTATCTTGACGTTAGTGTACGCATCGATCGGCGTGTTGCTGTTCTCCTTCTACCTGATATACGATACACAGCTCATGATGGGGGGCAAACATAAATACTCGATCTCACCCGAGGAGTACATATTCGCCGCCCTCAACCTGTATCTAGACATCATCAACATATTCTTATACATTCTCACCATCATCGGCGCGGCCAAGGATTAGGAGGAGGGTCAAGGGCGACGGTCATCTTCAGCACCTGTTACCGAACTGTAAGGTTCATATTTGAATGCGCGATTTGATATGGCTGCGTTCCGTTTTGCGATTTTGATCTATCGTTACATTGTGATGTGTCAATTCAAATATTTTAAGTGTTAGTTTTTTGCTTCTGGACTTTTTCTATGTATTGCCAGCGTCGAAAAGTTCTTATGTGTCTGTTTTTATTTTTTGTTTGTGTTGAATACTGTATCGGTTTCCTTTTTTAAGTGGATACTACTTAATTAGCCCACATTCTCAATAATTACTCGTAATATTGCAATTTTTATTCCATTTCTCCATTTTTATTTTATTTTACTATCTGGCAGCTGTGATTTAGAATTTTTACAATTTAAATACAAGAATGAAAAGTTTGAGATTTATATTTAGTTTTGAATTTGGCGCAGCTGTATTAAGAAAATTAAGTATCTAGTATTAAAATATTTATCTATCTACTTTTATATGTAGATGTAATTTAACACGTGGTTTCTAGATAAGAGGTTTTCAATTTAAATACGTATTTAATTACGTTCCAATATGTTAAAAAAATAAATACTCTTACAATAATCTGTTGATAACTGTAAGAGGAACACCGCTTGTCTAGAAATCTGTTATGGAAATCTAAAAATGACATTGGGCATTATGCGACAAGGAAAGAATATTATGAATAGATGGTTTTGATAGAAATTTTAATCGGCAAAAGATATAACGATAGGTACCTTTTTGGCTCGCATTGCCTAATGTCACTAACAAATTATTCCATGTTGTGTATTAATATTCTATTTTTGGTGTTGTCGTGTGTAATAATGTACAGTCAACAGCACTTCATAAACAAAACTGTCAAATTCCTTCACGCGATTGTAATCCTCGTAACATTATGATGAGAGTTTAAAATCGGTTGCAAAAATTTGACATTTTGTGGTAACAATGTGCTGATGTATGTACTTTAAAGTAGTAAGAATTTATTGTTTCATACTTTTGATTTAATTTCGGTGTCGTGATTTAGAATATATAGTTACATTGTTAATATAAACTTGTATTGCATTTATGTAAGTTATGAAAGGAACGACCGTCGCCCTTATTTAACGAAAATACAATAATTAGTAATTAATTAATGCTTTACCTAGGCTTGAGTAGTAACTAAACGCGTCCTCTCGTTAAAGTATAATCGATATTACTATTATATATGTCGAGTGTTTAACCAACAAGTTCTTATGGAATTGTATCATTTCACTTTATAGCTGGATCAGAACAGACTGTATGATTTATCACCGCTTTTTTGTTTACCGATTAATAAGGCCCACTGTTTTTAAAAGAACTACGATACGCTTCAATGTTGAGGACAACTGACCAATAAACTGTCTGTAAACTTGTTACATGTAGTTTATTTTTTACATTTGAGCGTCTGAAAAAAGTGGGCCTTCTTAGCCGATACTGCTTTTTTCATAACTACTGTTAAAAAAGAAGAAAATTTAATACTTTTTGTATATTAATTAATTTCATTCTAAAATCTGATTGAACTATAACGACTTGAGAGTAATCTAGGTAATCCTATTATTTAACATAACATCACCTAGTTTGTAATCTATTTATTTAGGTATGATATTGTTAACAAAGGAGAACTCGCAAAGATATATAATTAGATTCAGTCCCTCACAACAGATGCATATTTAATTATTTTAAAGTATGATAACTAATCTCATTGGAGATGTTTGGGATATCTGCCTATAGCCAGTATATAGCTCAAATCTTCACAAATGTATACCAAATGAGGAAAATCTATACTTGTACAGTATTAAATATAACAATTTTAAACTGTTATCATTATAACGTTACAATAATTACTAATTTATTTAAAACTACGCTTAAAAGCAAACACATAGTAACCCTCAAAACCAAAATTGCTCTTATGAGCGAGATAATTTTTCAAAAAAATATATGTACTGCTCTGAAGAACGATTTTATTTTTGCGGTTTACTACGAGTTAAATTACTTGTAATAAATGGCCTCTTGGTCATTACTTTTTCTATGCACTAAAACATGTCAAATTTAATTTATGATATATTTTTATAGCTTGGAAACTTATATGAATTGAAAATATTATTACATATAAAGTTTTGTTACATGTCGATATGGGATCTGAAATAATAAATGCCAATTTGCACTTAACCGTTTTTTATTTACACACTAAAATACCTGTATAGTAAACAATACTTACTCACTAAATACTTGTTTACCTTGCCACAAGTGTCAAACTATCTGCAATGGTCGAGGCTACCTATAAATCAAATTTATTTATTATTTCAGATGACCCACTTTAAAAAGAAACGCGATACAATTACATTAAATTTAAATTTTCTCTCGGTGTAATTATTTCAGACACAAATATACTGACTGACCAAGCCAGTTGTTTAGTGCCGTCTAAGAAAGCCCACTTTTTTGTAAGCAAATGCTGATGAGTTGAATGGGTATTTAAAATACAATCCTATTTTCTTAAAATAACTAATATGTATATACAGGAATAATTTAAAACCACTGCGAAGATTTTGTGAAAATAAACTTTAAGTAATTTAAATAAACACGTATTTTTGATATGTTCTAATACTAAAAAATAAAGTTATCGCTTATCAAAGATCGAGATTTTAAAACTTAATTTATGGATACCGCGCGCCGTGCGTCAGCTGAGCGCCCGCTCGACGCCGTAGGCATGTACTCATAGGTAGGTACCTAGCTACACGGGTCACTGAACGCTCATTTTGTTAGATTCGAACTAGATTTTATGCCATGATCTGAGGTGATTTCTAAGAGTAATTCCAATTTTCCCTTCATACTTTTATGGTTAAGGCCATCAAAATGCAAAAAAATAAAAGAGAAACAAATTCGTTACCTAAAAAAAAATATTTACGTTATGCCGAAGTTACATAGGTACTTCTGCGTTAAGGCGTATTTAAAAAAATTAGAATCAACTACGTATTTACAATAATGTTGAATCAAAACAAATACCTAACTAATTTTACTTACCATGTATTTTAATATTTGTTCAAAATGAAGTCCACGTCTGTCCAGACATAAACGTGCACATTTCATTAAATTGACATTTAATTTGTTTAAAACACTAGTCTCACTTTTCACTTCACTGAAAGCGTTATTATTTTTTATTGTTAAGTCTTCTAGACTTTGTGCCTCCTCTACATCTCGGCGTTTGACTTCTTCCCATAAGAAACAGTCCCTCACTTGTGAACAATGCCTCATCCGTCTACAAGATGTTTGCATTGCGGTGATGTAGAAGCCACTCACATAAGGCTCGACGTGGTACTGGGTCTAGGTCATGGAACTGCTGAACCGGCTGAAAGTGGTACGGATGGAGTCCGGCTGTTTTTAGCAGCTTCAATACCGCAGGCTGGTTCACACCAAAGAGATATGCCGCATCGTGAGTACTGACTCTAGGACTTCGTCTGTTAAAATGGTTCGTCGAAGCATTAGGGACCGCGGGGTTACGGATCCCAAAGGCCGCATACAAGGTATGCTCTTCGTCGCATACTTTCTCCGAATTGCGCTTATGTAGGTTCTCACCACTCAGAAGATAAACTCGTACCATCTCGTAAAACTCACGACGGCGGGCGCGTCGCGTGCGCGGGAACGCCAGGACACGTCACATCGGCGCGTGCGTATGAGTCTTACTGTCGCGCGCGTCGCTCGGTACCGGCGGGGCGGTGGGGGCTGTGGCGGGGGGCTACCGGACGCGGCGGGGTTACACGGTGGCGTACGCAAGAGAAGACGTTTTCATTGAAGTTTTATTTTAAAAAATGTGTCCATATTCTACCGTTTCGATAGGGATAAAAATATTTAAAAAAATTTTTTAACTAATTATGGAAAAGTGTTCTATTACTGATACTGAACCACCAAAAAAAATTTTTGCACTGGAAAATAATATTCCTGTATATTTTAGTTGTTTTTTAGCACTAAGGCTTTGAAAAATATTTGCGTTCTTAAACGGTACTTAATTTGAACAAATCATCACACACCTTAAGAAATGTACGAGTTTAATATAAATAGTTACATATAATACATCACTATGAATTGCCGCTCGCAGTCTCGCAATTATTGAGACCTATTATGAGGTGTAATATTATTAAATGCCAGGACTCGGTGGAGTTGATAAAAGTATACTGAACAACTTTTACTACGGGAGCATCACTGAGTTCACGAACAAATAAATCGACTGTTTCATACAAAATTGTAATACCTACAATCGCCAACAGTATGAAACAGCTGATTAATTTTTCGTGAATTCAGTGTTGCTCCCATAGTAGAATTTATTCAATATGATTAACTCATACACTACACGAAGTACTGACACATACTTTATATTTACAGCAGTACAAAAATATTAGTAGTTATAATATTGTTTGTTTAGGTTTGTTTTAAATCTATTCGATTTTAACAGATAGTGTTTCGTTAATAATCTATTGTTAATATTATATTATAACAATTAATTGGTCCAATTGTTTCATTATTTTGTTGTGAATATGTTGTGAATTTTCAGTAGATGTTAAGAAACCAATAAAATAATATTGCGTAATATTATTATGATCTTTTTATTCCAACAATAACCCACGTAAGTATTGTTTAAAATAACAAGTATTTTAAAACAATGTGGAAAAGCAGTAGGTAGGAACCACAGAAATATATCTAGTTAGAAGGAAAAAGTGTACGTACTTCGCGTGCCGAAACGACGTCTAGACAGCTTCATTGCTCGCCACGAGGCTCAGTCCACTTTCAATCGCAATCAGTGTTGAACGAAATTTAAAATGATGCGTTGTTCGATAATTACCTGCTCAAACACCACCAATATGGTTGGATCTTATAGTCGAGGTATTTCCTTCCATCGGTAAGTAACTATTTGCCTTGATATATCTATTTTGAATTAAAAATCATTAGTTTTGTTGCTCCGTATTATTTTTATCAAAACGGTCATGTGTCCAGTAATAGCTTTCCATTGCGGCTTTAATTTGACAGTCCAAATTTGCTGTGCTTGTAAAACCATCGATGTATAATTCAAGGTCAATTTGTTGGAGGCCAAAAATGGAGAATAGTGCTGTGCAATGCGATTTTTTTACCCGATTAAAAAAATATCGTTTTTGAAAGCAGAAGAAAGGATAATTAATTTTATATTGAATTATACGAGGGTCAAACTGAAAGTTCTTAGAACTGGCCACTTATAAACAATATAATAAAAAAATAATTCTAAAATTTGAAAATATAACTCTTTGCCAATATTACTGAGTATATATTTCATTCATTTGTCATTTGTTTTACGATTTGGCGGCAAATTGAAAATTGTCTGTGTCACGTCATCATGAATTTAACACGAGAAAATTTTCGTGCAATGATTTTTTATGACTTTCGATGTCATTTAAGTCAACAAGAAAGTTATGATAGACTACGATTGGCCTTTCACGATGAAGCCCCATCTCGTGCGACTGTTTACAACTGGTTTAATGAGTTAAACGTGGTCGCACTAATCTCACTGATGATTTACGTGAGGGACGGCCTTCTACGGCGACGACTGAAGATAACATCTGTGTTGTGCGGCGTATGATAGAGACTGACAAAAGAGTGACCTATCAACAGATTCGGACAAGCTTAGGCATCGGTATGAGTCAAGTGCACAAAATCCTCCACGAACATTTAGCGGTCAGGAAGCTTTGCGCCCGGTGGATACCTCATAATTTGACTGAGGCTCAAAAACTCCATCGTGTGGATTGGTGTCGTAAAATGATTGAAAGATTTAACGGAGGTGACTCAAATGCTGTGTTCGACATACTAACAGGTGACGAAAGCTGGATTTACTGTTATGATCCTAAAACCAAAAGACAATCTGCTCAGTGGGTGTTTCCTTTCGAGGAGTTGCCAACTAAAGTGAAGAGAGATCGAAGTGCGGGAAAAAAAATGGTGGCCTCGTTCTTTGGAAGGATAGGTCATTTTGCAACAATTGTGCTAGAGGATCAAAAAACAGTTTCTGCAGAATGGTACACTACCAATTGTTTGCCACTTGTCTTGGAAAAAGTTCGAGAGAAACGACCTCGCAGTAGGATCCTCCTTCACCACGACAACGCCTCGTCGCACACCGCCAAGCGAACGATCGACTATTTGGCGACATCAAACGTTGAATTACTGGGTCACCCGCCGTAAAGCCCCGACCTCGCGCCTTGTGATTTTTATTTATTTCCAAAAATTAAAGAAAAACTTAAAGGAAAGCGGTTTATGAATGCTGAAGAAGCGGTGGCTGCGTATCGCGATGCCATTGAAGAGACCCCTAAGGACGAGTGGGCAAAGTGCTTTTCCCAGTGGTTCCATCGCATGCAGCGGTGTATTGACGTGAATGGACAATATTTTGAAAAGATATAATAAAACTAATAACTGGCTAATGTAATCAGTTTTTGATTTTCTAAGAACTTTCAGTTTGACCCTCGTACTGTAATTTTTGTTTTAGTTTTCCGTATGATCCTCATATTAAAAATAAATGGATTGAAGCAACAGGACTCTAAGGCAAATAGTAGGTATACTTACTGGACATGGAAACTTTAACAAACACCTATATAACATGGGTTATTCTGACAGTCCTCTGAGCAGGGCGTGCATGGAGACTGAGGAGATTGTCTCCTCAGTCTCCATTCCAGTATCACATAAGCGCTTGTGCACTCATGTGATACTGGAATGCAGGAGCCTATTAAGACAAAAGGACTACATATCTATGAAGCCCAAGGATACTAGTGGAAGCATGCGGCAGAGTTCGAGATCTTACGGGCTTCCTGGAGGAGCTGGGGTGGCAGGACTAAAGCAACCCCGTGTCATGCAAAATAGGCACTGAGTATTGAGTTGCAGAAAAGCCCGCCGTGAAACATAACATAACAACACAGGACGTAAAAATGTGTAGTGTGTTGGGAGGGGGTAGCGGCTACTACAAAGTGTTTGCCCACAGAAAAATGCCGATTTCTATTCTATCGCATAAAATCTTTTTTGCGCCGATTCACTAAATTACATTCGTGAGTTCGTGACATATACATAATATTTAAGCAAAATGGTAGTCTGTCTATAAAGTCATGAAAGAAATTGAGGGCGCTGCGATCGTGCACGTAGCAACCCTGTGTAGTGACACAAATGATTTTGATAGTAGGATTTTTTTTTTACTTTTATTACCCCAGAAAAGGTAAAGAAAGGCGTATAATTCGTAGACAATGAGTTTTTAACTAAGATTACAATATAGTAATCGTAATTTTTGATAAATCTTTTTTTTTTATAATTGCCAAGTTGTTTTCTCGTTTTACTGCAATGTGTGCTTGTGTTCGATTAAAGCCTGTAACTTTGACACTCCTTGTAAGAAAACCCAATATATTTCAGAATTTAACGCAGAACTTCTAGGCTACAATTAAAATCCAGATCGGTTTTGGCAATCCACTGATGTTTTCTTCATGTAGGTACCTCTTTTTTTCACAGAGTAAAAGAACTGAATCTTTTGTCGAAGTGCACAAATGTTGCAGTTAACCATTTATTTCTTAGGACGACTATCTATTTTTCCCAGGGGTTTCACCATTTTTATAACCTTCATCTACAATACGTATCACTATACTCTCTGATTTTCCTGAAAGTAAGTTTTAAAAATGTAATACCTAAAGGTATTGGCAAAATGAATGGAATCGCCACAATTATCAAATTAATGCTATAATTTTAGTAATATAAAGCACAAACTTTTTATTGGCGTACGTAGGTAAAAATCGTACATTCCTAACAGGTATATTTTTTATTCAGATTAAAGTCAATGATAAATTTGATTATCCAAAAGTATTGAAAGTTCGGGCCGCACTACAATATAGCCTTCTAACATTTTCAATCTAACCTATAAATGCATAATGTAATCAATACTTCTTTTAGACTTAAATTCATATATTTAGTAAATTTGAAACTTCTGGTAACCAAAACTCAATCAGTAACACGATTACATACCAGCCATAACTGCCGTTCGAGCTTTAACATCCTACAAATATGATAAAATGTGTCCAGCTTCTTGTTCTAAACTGAAAAACGTTATAAATAATATCCTGAGCTTCACTCTGATTAATTCTCTTCATTTTTAACACTTTTCGACGGAGTTTAGAAGAACTAGCTTCAGTTTAATTAAAACAAATCAATGCAGAAAATCGAGCTAAAAAATCAAGTTGTTGATAGTCGATGTACTTTGATTCAGTGTTGTCATACTTGTGTCTAATGTTAGTTCCTCAAACATTCTTTTCATGACTTTATAGACAGACTGTACACGTTGGTCTCCGTCGATCGATATCGTTTTTTCAATCGATAAGAATCGGTATGCCGTTTCAAATACAACATGTATTCGATGCAAGTGAAATTATGTCTGCCATCACTAAATTAAGATCGTGACGTCATGATACCTACACAAAATGTGGCACGCTCGGTCTCCATATAAATCGACGAACATTTTCCTTCTAACTAGATTTATTTCTGTGCCCATGACCTTACTTTGATTTTTATGGTATCGTACCAAACTGAGAATATTAGATTCCTAATAGGTTATCTCGGTTGTCTATCTGTCCGTCTATCGGCGACAAAAAGACTGTTGTTTATTGTATATAATTTCTTATCTCAGACCAAATAAAAAGTATAGACGGAGTTTTGCCTAACAGAAAAGTGAAGCCGACAAAACTACGCCTCGGCGTATTCGTACACAGTTTCACGCACACATACATAACGAAACTACGCCTTCCTTATCAGTCTAACTATCTTGAGTTAGACTGATAAGGAAGGCGTAGTTTCGTTAAACTATCTTGAGTTTACCTTTAGCACACTCTCTTGAGTGTGCGGAACGTTTCATTATAAAAAAATTCAAAAATTTCTTACTAACTGCCGAATTGTGTAGTAAAAGGTTGTAAAAACCAATCCTCAAAAAATAAAAAGCAGGATGGAATCACATTTCACACATAAGTATTGGAGAAAACTTACATTTTCAGTAATTTAAAAATTAAATTTAAGTAATTGCTTGGAACACAAAACCTGAGCCAAATATTACCATCGTTAAACGTTATTATTTACCCCGAAATCAGGTAACTTTAATTTTATAACGCGTTATTTCTAACAAAACACAAATTACGTTATGTATTTTTTTCTTGTTGTATGGAAATTATATTTAATAAATTTGCATTTAAAATGCTACATAGAGGTCCAGATCACAGATATTGAAGTGTAAGTTAGAAAAAGGAAGTAAAACATAAAAAACGAGTTTAATTTTTTACTTCTTTATTTTTACTAAACGGGTTTGCATACATTTTTTCATTTCCCAACCGACATCAAAATGTGAAAGAGAAGTGGATTTCAGTCATTCGTAATAGTCGAAATGAACCTTTATGGAATCCAATTTCGCGCAGCGTAGTTTGTTCGACTCATTTTAAGAGCTATGATATGTATTATACTATAAAAGGGTTATGTCGAATAAAGCAAAACTCAAAGGTTTCAATCTTTCTATATATTAAAATTTTAGTTAACATAGTGAAAGTTTTCAAACTTATCTTTAAAATTAATTATATAGTCTTACTAATGTATGGCCTCCAATAATAATTACCTACTCTTAAAGATTTCAGAATATCAAACAATACTATTATTCTTTTGTTAAAACAGCCAAAACCAACACATCACTCACATCTAATTGCAATATCTCCCTTATTTCTGGTGAAATATTAGCGTCGATTAATATTATTGTTATCTTTAAGGTCCCAACTGCAGTATCAGACATATCATTTTTTTACTTGAAAATAATGTCCACTAAAGAAATATTTTTGGATCTTATCATTTGGATATCAACAAAAATCCATTTTAAATGATTGGACAAGAGACATTCCACTGTAAAATTACTTCTGAACCATGAAATAAAGTAGAAAAAATAAGCCGCCCTGGCTTTATTTACTTGTAAATGGTTTTTAATTTATACAAACACAAGTTTTATAAATATACAGTAGTTTTATTACACCTTTTCTTTTTCAATATGCTGATATTGACAAACGAATTTATATTATATGTATTATTAAATAACATAGCATTAACGTTAACTCTATAACGTCGTAACGTTAAGTTATTGGGGTGTTTTTAATGATTATGGTCACACTGGCACGCACACTACAATTGCTAAAAATCGGCTTCACTTCACCGATGTCAGACGTACCAACTTCTTGGTATACATACTAGTTTTTAGTGTCACGTACCATGTACCAAGACTACTCAGTCATTGTATGCAAAAATACCAAGATTGGCCGTTGGCCCGTTGACCGACAAAAATACACTGACAACATAGAATAATCGACAAATTTCAGAGATGCATGTAAAAAACATTCCAATCAGATTTCCTTAATGTCATAAAACGTAATAGTGTTCGATAATTACTGCCCTCTATTAACGGTATACGTAATTGAAATGTGCATTTTTTTTACTGAGATGTGATTTCCCACACAGTTTGTCTCCCAGAATTGGCAGCGCCAGAGCGGAGCACAGGCGTACCAGTTTCCCCCCTCGAATACCAGCTTTCAGCCAGCTCGGTACAAGGATTTCTAAGTGGCCGTCTAACATCCCTGCTTCACTTTGTTGTTCAGCGAACTCCGTCTTTACTTTTTATTTGGTCTGAGTTTCTTATAATGAGTTTGAAACATGGCAGCCTCATAGGGGATAAATGCGAAATAACAAAATAAAGTTAATGGTTCTTGGTATACCCGCCCTATCAATGGAATGTATTATTGCCATCGAGGGTTTAAATTATAATATGACAGATTATATACAATTTCGTTATTGGCGGTACAAACTCACGCCAAGAAGTCTCGCCGACTCTCTTTGGCGAGAAGAAATATAAATGAATGAGAAGGCGAGAAACATTCGGGCGTTAGTCTGTCCGGCCTAATAAAAAGGTATATGAATATCCGTAATTCATTTATATAATTTTATATCTAGCTATCTAAATTATTATCTCACTACCCATTATCTGAAGTTATCATGCGATCGATGTATACCAGACATTCTGAATTAAATTAGCAACACGTAATTTAATTAGGTAGATACATAATTATCACAATATAGATACCCTATGTGGACGTTTTATCACCGTCTATAGGTACAATTATCGCCAACATACGAGTGTAGCTATAATACTTGAATTTTGATAGTCTGTAACAATGTGTGGGCTAATATGTTTCATCGGTTTCATTTTCCTTATATTAGTATACAATTATAAATTCAAAGATCCGAAACCAATATTTGGTGTGTACGCGGTGCCCGGGAAGTGGTATTATGTGAAATATGTTGTTTTCGCGTTCATTTACTATTATAGAAAGGTAAGTGGATTTCGACGTTTTTTACATTATTATGATATTTTGATAGTAGGTACCTACAATAAATAAAACATGGGCTTCTATTATGACATGTTTATAACGCATATATATACAGTTTCCCACAACTAATCCCGCGTAAATTATCCGCATGTGACAGGCACCTAAATACCTACCAAACAATAAAAATGTTTTTGAAAGTATAAAACGAATACTTACTTATAATTATATTGTAGTGTTATTGCTGCTATTAATAAAGTGTGATAACGTTAATTCTCTTACGTGACACTTCCTAATTTTTTTAGACTTCTATTATACTTCTGTTATATAAGTCTTTAGTTAATTTAATATATTTAAGAAAAAAGCTTAACTTTAAAGATCTTGCATGAATTTTAGTGACTTAAAAAAGATAATTTAACTGTTATTATTTATCTATCATACCTTTATCTATCCTGGTCTTATCACAATGACTTTGACAATAATTTTTTTTCATTGCCATTGTCAATAATTAGGAATAAGGAATTTTCCTGACTCCGGACATATTCCACTAAACAATTTCGGGTTTCTAATGAAAAAGACTGTTGTTTTTGTGGTTATAAACAATGTAGCAAATAAAGGATTGTGGAGTAAAACGTATAAAGTATTTTATTAATAAAAATTATATAATCCTTAATGACAGAGAAAATTTTTAAACAAAGATAATAAACAAAACGATAACATAGCAACCAAAATCATTTCTCTATGACTGGACGGTATTCAACCTTTATTTTTAACAAAAACTTACTCTCCATGTGATGAATGCAGTGTTATAGAGGATGCATACTATACATATAATGATGGAATGTGATAGAAACTAGTCTGAGAGGACACATCTACAGTATGTACAATTTAATTGTACAACAGGGACTCTGTAACAGCATCTTGGCTGAACCTTCATCAGTTGCTGCCAGAATATTGTACAGAATGGTTGAGTAGAATAAGTCTATAATAATGAGTTGTATCGTCGGGGGTGGCATTTCCGCAAGGAAACATCCTATTGAAATTAAAGAATAAAAAAAGGAAGTTTCCTGTAATGGTCACGTAATATTATAATGATCCCTTACATCAGACAAGAGATCCCTTTTCCGCTTTTTGAAGTTAATTCGGACACCTGAGTGCATTCGTATTCGCAGGGCAACCCTGCGATTTGTAAAAATCCAACCCAGAATTCGCACAACCTTGAATTGGTAATAACGTTGGTGTTGGTTGGTGTCATAAGTAAAGTGAGTTTCGAAATGACATTACAATAGAATATCTGAGACACGTATATTCAATCAGTTATGTTTTGTATTTTTATACAAAAATTGGAATCAATAGTTTCTACACCAACAACTTGAAATTGAAACTTTCCGAGGTAGCTGCTACTGTAGGCATCTCTAAAGAACGGGCACATTACATTTTGACTCAAGAATTATGTATGAAAAAATTATCCGCAAGGTGGGTGCCGCGATTGCTTACAGTTGACCAAAAACGCGTTCGTATGCAAATTTCACAAGATTGTTTGGACCGCTTGGACGCTAAGAGCAATACAACTGATTTTCTGCGACGGTTTGTTACTACAGACGAGACTTGGGTTCACCACCATATACCTGAATCAAAAATTCAGTAAGTCATGGCGTCATTATTTTGGGATTCGAAGGATGTATTGATGATTACCTTCCAAAAAGACAAAACATAAATGGCGAATATTATGCTGATCTACTGGATAAATTACAAGTGTGTATTCGTGAAAAAAGACCCGGCCTGGCTAAAAAAATAATAATCTTTCATCAGGATAATGCGCGCGTTCACACGTGCATCACTGCGATGGCGAAATTCAAAGAATTAAATTATGATTTGCTGCCACACCCAGCTTATTCTCCTGAATTGGCACCATCTGATTTTCATCTATTTCCTAAGCTCAAAAATTTTTTAGGTGGACAAAGATTTGATAATAATAGTGAGGTGATGTCTGCCGTGGACAGTTATTTTGAAGGGCTTGAAGAGAACTACTTCTGGGATGGCATTAAGGTTTTAGAGCATAGATGGATGAAGTACATAGCGCTTCAAGGAGACTATGTCGAAAAATAAATATACTTTTAACACACTAATTCAAGTTTTTTATGCTAGGCTAGCTATTTATCATCCCGCCCTCGTATGTTAAAATCATATTCGAACATATGCGAAGATAATCTTTGTTATATCTGTCAGTGATAGGCCTATGGTTAGGCCCTACCTCCGTTGGATCAAAAATAGATGAAATTTCGTTTTCAGAGAGAGCGAATGTAGGCCCACTGTTCATACTAAAGCATGGATTGGACCCAGTAAAAAGATTATCAGATTATAGTTGACATACATTTTTTTCAGTATTCAAAAAGAAACTCAGCAGCAGGGTCTAGTGGACGCGCTGGGCAGGGTGTCAAAGCTATAGCCGACCCGGCGTCCATGGACCGCGCCCATCCCTTCAGCGACCACGCTAAGGTATAACATATAACAATCGCTGGAAATTCATCACCTCATCTTATTATGTAACTAATCACTAATGGTATTATTTTATACCAGGTAAGCATAGCTGAAATAATTCTGATATGTTTAAAAAGTATACCGGACGAAACTGATATGACAACACCAAATTGGGACGGTTGTAGAAACCGGCGGAAGATTCATGAAGATATTGATAGAAATGTATCATGTATCATCTTCCCTTTGTTATGTTGAGTAAAACCTTCTTCTCGTCTTTTTTAAAGGCTTTCGACGCAGTATTTTTTATATCAGCATCCAGAAATGAGGACGACAAAGGTATCTACGTCATATCCGGCTGCGAGCGACGCCCCATGGGCATGTGCAACGGATTGTTCTACATAGGGGTAAGAAAGAACTACTATATGAATTAAGAAAATTTAAAAGTTAAAAAAAGCTAAAAGACACACCACCCTGAATAATAATTATTTTTTTCTACAACGCTTTTAAGCAAAGTGTGCATATAGAATTTGAAAGCGGACACATTTTTTGGTTGCCGTGTTGCTCTCGATATACTTCTGTCGCGACACAGCAAATTAAAATCTTTTACTATGACACAAATAATAAGTCTAACCATAGTAAATATATAAAATAGATATGCTTCTGTTTTACAAACGTCAAGACACAAAAATGTTTCGGCCTTTAAGGGAAAGAAGATTCTATTTCATTTTCGTTTTCGTTTAACCGTGGAAGCGTAAAGTTTTGCAAACAGTAACTTTATAAGTTCATTATTTTATGCAGAAAAAAATTTTTTTTATCGCATTCTAGCTTTGACTATTGTTAATAAAAAAAAGGAATGATATTATTATTATTATTAACAGTTACCCGGTAAAGGACTATTATGCAGTAAAAAGATACCTGATACAGTTCTCTTTGGTGCCCAAATAAGTGAGTTCGGAGCAGAGGGCATTAAGATGACGCCTGTAGAGCCGATGAACAAGTGGACTGTGTCATACAAGGGACAGATGTGGTGAGTACACATCGTCAACCTATTATTGTCCCCATTGCAGCACAAGCCCCGTGTATATAAAGTAGAAACAAAAATTGTTGACCGTTGGCTCAGTATGGGTTGGTGGGTGTTTAAGAAGGCAGATGCAGCCGGGACCTGACCAACAAAATGCCTTCACTGAGACACTGGAAGTAGTAATTTTTGGTCACCCATCTAACCATGGCTCTAATGTAAAGTTGCGTAACCTCCGTAGTCCCAGATCAACTCCCTAACCACTGCGCCATCTAACACACTTAAATACGCTAAGGTATTTCGATCATATCTGCATAATGCAATCGCAAAATTAATAGATATCTAATTAATCTAATTAAAAAATATTTTTAATTAAATACTCTACATACTTCTTTGACGATCTTTTTTAATTTCTCTATATACTCTATTTCGCATCCAGTCTTGTTATTTTCTTCTTAACACTATATCCTCTACTAGGCTACAGAATGATCCTGAGAAGTTAGTTAATGTGGAATTCCAAGGCGAGTGGCTGGCGACCAGCAAACATTTTGATTACGACTGCGACTTACATCCGCCAGCCGTCATCAGGTCCATCGCCAGGGAGAAGTGGTCCAGGGCTTACTTCGAAAACTTGAAAACGTAAGGTCTTTTTCATAGACTAAGTATAATAATATTTTTACCGATTTAAAATTTCAATGAACATACTATAATAACATTAAAAATTCACTGTGTTTAAAAATATTAGTAGTAAAATTATATTCAACTTTATCTTCGAAATTAGTTAAGAAAACTTCTGTCTCTGATAGCAATCTGCAAATATCAGATGAAAATATAAGAAAACTAGCTGTATTCCCGCAACTTTGCCTGCTTTTGAAGAATTTTCAAATCGGTCCAGTAATTTCGGAGCCTATCTATACGATCAAAACAAATAAACAAACATCCAAATCTTTCCTCTTTATAATATTGGTACCTTCAGACAAATAGTACAAGTACCTAAGTATGCTCTTGTAATGATGGGTAAATCCATTATTTTTTCTGTCCTTATTGTTATGATGATGTACATAACATCCTATGTGGGTACATTTGTCCTTATCTAATTATAAATTGTACCTCTATTATCAACTTTTTAATTAATTATATTCTTTTTAATATACATATTTCGAGTATTTTTTTTCATACAGAGCGCACCAGTCCCACTACGAACAATTCGGTGTACTTAAATGCAAATTTAAGATCGACGATGAATCGTACGAATACACGCTACCATCGTTCAGGGACCACAGTTTTGGTAAGCATAATTATTTGTACTGTTAATAAACCAATATTATTATTATTTATTTTATTATAGGTTACTGAGTTATGTCCTTAGTACTTCCACAAATTGAAGTATCAACCATTACAAAACTCTTGCACATTTTTGTCACTAGCTTTTGTACTATTATAAATGAAAAAAGATGGTGTAATCATTTCAATGCAGTAATAAGATATAAAAGTTGTTAATTATCATAATTTTATAATCATTATAAAATACTTTCGTATGGTAATGGGTGATTCATTTTTTTTGTCGTTAGGTGTTAAACGGGATTGGAGTCTGATGCACAGATACGCTTTTCATCATATCTTTCTACAAAATGGCATCAACATAAGTGTCGGTGTAATATGTCAGCCGTCCACCGCTTCAGTGTGAGTACCTAATCATTCATTTTTATTAGGTTAATTTACTATTGTAGGAAAAATATTTTTAATGTTATCTTAATAAACCACTATCAGACTTATTTTCCTTCAAATAGTTGATAAATAAAGGAAAAGCATATTTTTATCAATTAATTATATTGTCCCGCGAAAACAACTGCGCAAAAGTCACGTGACATTTCAAACCGTGATGTCATATTTCAATAAACATGTACATTATAAATCTCAAGTTATTTTGCAAAAAATAAAATATACTTACAATTCATTTTTAAATATAAAATACTACATAGTTTTTTGCATATAACTTACAATTTCCAAGTAGTCAATTCCGTGCAAATTACTTGTTATAATGTCAAAGTTACGCCCATTACGGACTTTAAAAAACGTTAAGCCTTCTTTCTTCCGTACACTACAATTGATATTAAATATTTAGCTTCGAAGCGGGCACAGTGGCTCTACCGGACGGCCGAGTGTTGCCAATAAAGTGGGTGGAGCTACAGCTGTACCAGCACGGGGAGGGGGGTCGCCCCTCCACAGACTACGCGTTTAGGTTCCAAGCGGGCAAGGACGTCTATACTGTACAGGTAACAAACGATGAATCATCAGCATTGGCTTCCCACTGCTCACTATCGATCGATAGAATAGGACGAATCGAGTGGTTCACACGCCGATTTCAATTGTCGCCATTTCTGAAGTCGCTACAATGTAGAAAATGGGTTTTTGTATTGTGGTACCTTCATTGTCTCGGAACAGAAACAGTAATATAATAAGAGGGCTTTAGCCACTCATCTTGAAATCTAAGCAACGATATGATGTCTAATATTTATAGAAAATAGAATCGTATGGGAAAAACAGGCTATAACCCACGACGCGGGCCCAGTTTAGATTGATGGTATTAACGTCAGGGGCGGATCCAGACTTTAAAAGAGCTTATGGCACAGTCGAAAAATATTCTAAGTGCGAGTCAAAGTAAAGTAATTTTTTTAGTAAAATCCCAATCGGGAAAATTTATTGGGGATTTATCGTTTAATACAAATTAAAATAGAAAAATAGATATAATTTATACTTCTTAACACTATAAAAACATTAGTAATATAGTTGAATGAAATAGGATACTTTAAAATCAGTTAACTCATTTAATAAAATTGCCGATTTATATATTAATCAAAAATAAAAACCCGACATTTGGGAAAAACTGGGAAAATATCCGGATTTTTTCCCACCACCCATCTCTAGTCCCGCCTCACTCCGTTCAGTCCAATAAAAGATATTGATCAAATTTTGAAATTTTATTTTATTTTTAGATTTTAACTTTTAATAAGAATGTTTTTTTAGATATATGAATATATAAATTGTAATAGGATCTCATAGTACTCGTACCTAGCGTCCATGCCTTAATCAAACTTTATCAAATCAAACACACACTAAAAAAGCATTACTTATCTGTAGGTAACAGTTGAATACGAATCGGTCCACTACGTATCTGACGAGTGGGAGGCACGAATGGTGGAGAGATTCTGCAAGTTCGTTGTCAACGATGTGCCCGGACGAGGCGTATCAGAGTTCCACTACCGACACAAAGATGGCCGCCCAGAGAGTGCCGCCATAAACGACCCACAGTGGTACAGGAAAATGTGCCATAAGATTTAACTGTTAAGATGATTATTGCTAATCACTGCTTTGTACATATATGTAGATTATCAAAATAGATATTGCTGGACTTTTAAATATTGTTGGCTTTTTATTTCGTCGCATAATAAAAACCCAAACATGGTCTTTAAAGAAAAGAAAATTATATAATTGGGATAAGGCAAGCAAATGATGCATTCTAAAATCTTTTAAAATATAAACTACCTAATATCTATACTAATGTTTATAAAGAGGAAAGATTTGATTGTTTGTTCTTGTGCATCAAATACGCTCCGAAACTACTGGACCGATTATAAAGATTCTTTCACCTACGGGAAGCTACATCATGTGCGGTGAACATAGGTTATATTTTATCCCGAAAAACAGCAAATAAAGGGATGAAAATGGGCGTAGAACTTTGCATAGGGTATTAAAACGTTACCGTAGTAACCTTTGCTTACTATTCAATTTGTCATTGTAATAATATCCATGTCATGATATGAATCGGTATTCAAATAAACAGTTCCCTAGGGCCCACGCAGGCGAAGCCGCTGGCGGAAAGCTAATCTACAAAGTAACTGTGAAATTTGGTATAATACACTTAAAAATGAGCCAAGCAAACCCGTAAGTAAATCTCGGACTAGCTGTACTATTGAAAATTATCCTTTTTTAGGAATAATAACAGTATGTATTCAACAAAAGCGATAGTTAAATATCATATTTGGTAACTTTCTGTACGCATGTAAATTTTTCAAAATAGTATTTTATTTATTATAGCTATTTTTATTTTCCTACGAGATACATTTCCGTTGTAAACAAACTTACTTAAGTGATTCGTTAATAGAATAAATATCAAATCTGACCATGACGAAATCATTCAAGGATTAACAGCGATATTTCTTTAGAATGTAGTACACATTGCATGTTTATTACCTCAGACACAGAAGATGCGTCATGTAACGTGATCGATGTACGTTGAACAGTTTTCTGGATGCGGTGCCGACCTTGATCGTTGTCCTTTCGCCGCTCCTCCAATTATGTCTCTAATCGAATTGACTGACTGCGCTCTACCAATGAGATAATTGCGCACGCGCATCCCATTTACATATATTGGGTGATTGATTATGAAAGAGGATCATTTAAAAAAAATATATTAACCAAAGATTCTATTATGAATAACACTTTTTGTTTAGTACTTTAGTATTTTTTTATCTATCGCCTACATTATAAAACGTAAATAATTGTATTTGATGATATTACTAATGATTTCAAAACATACTAGATATCAGATTTGCTTATTTTTATAATTTAATTTTATAAGCATATAAGTAGGTATATATTATCCAGAATGCATGACCCGGCTGTATAAAAAGCTGTTGTAGTAATTTCATTATTACCAAATGTTTTGAAAAATAATTGTAAAATTAAATGTGACTGAAAAAGTCTCACTCGGCTTCCTCGAAGTACAGGTATCCTTTTATGATCTATTTCTATAATTATTATATTATATTCATATTATCTACTCTAATAAATCTTACCTTTATTTTATTTGATATCATCCTGTATAAATTCCGGTAGAGTTTAGGGTCCGTCTGATAGACGCATCGCTTGTTTCCCAACGTCACAGTATACCGAAGCCAGCGAGAACAACAGGAGCGCAAAATTCCGTATAATAACATATATTGTGTAAGGTAAGTGTATATAAACAGTAATAAAACTTTTGTTGTGTAACAAATTCCTTATTTTTTGGGTAAGGAAAAGAATGGGTATTGTATTATTATTTATACTACTATATATTGTATATACCTTGACGAAATCTTGCATCACTCTATGCTGCCACGAAAGCATACCCACTAACTAAAACCTATAAAATCGGAATCCCCTAAATATTGTCTTCGAGCGGCAAAAGAGTGAAGTTAAAAGAAAAATTATAAACAGTACACATAAAACTAGGTTTCGTTATATGGCTCCGTGTAAATATTTGGTTTCAAAAAGAGCCTACCTATAAAAAGTTAGAAAACCGCTGTCAGGTGACATATAACTTATTACCCAAACAATTTTAATTAAATATTAAATTAATTTCATTATTTCAACTACAAAAGACAATTTAAGAAATACATATTTTTTGCTTATTGTATCAGATATAATAAGTAACTGAGTAAAGCGATTCACCTGCACAGATAAACCTCACAGGTTTTCGTGTAGATATTTGAACGTAAACTCAATAGCACGTCTGGTTATTCAAAACCGACAAATTTCTCTACTCTACTCTCTTTGTGCGTGACCCCGAGTAGATGTTAGGTACATGATCCTGCATAATGTTTTTATCTTGTTCCAGTCTTTTCAATAAGTTGTTTTTCACGTGGCGGGTTTTTTGTTCTTTATTTTATAATTTTATTTACGTCTTTTTACTTATATAAATTACCAGGTTGGTTCAGAAGTCGAAAGAACAAAGTCCATAATTTTAAACTTTCTCATTGTATTATTTTTATTAGAATTACGGTAATGATAACCATGAAATAGTTTTTGGAATCCTTGTATTGAGCCGTTTAATTAGATGTCCATGTTTTTATATTAAAAAAAATAAACTTTTTTTATCATTAAATCTAATGGCGTAGCATAGCCGCCATATTTGGTTTTTTCAACGTTACCTATCTGAGAACAGTTGGACTACTAAGACAAATCTAACGATACCTCAATTATCTATCCGTTCAGCGACTATAGCGTTTCTAAAAATATGAAGTAATAAAGAATATTACATGCAAGATACGCACGAAACACAACCCTTCCTTTACTGTCGGGTAAATACAACTACCGAAATGACTAGAGAAAACATTTTTAACTCTACTCATCAATTGCAGTTTTGGACAAACGTGTACATAATACAATGGATTTCGACGCAATCCTAGAAGACGTCGGAGAATTTGGCCACTACCAGAAGCTGGTTATATACCTAGTGTTGTTGCCGGCGGTGTTGCCGTGCGGGTTCCATGCGTACGCGCAACTGTTTATGGCGGCTGGTGTCACGCACTGGTGCCGCGTGCCTGAACTTGAGCATATCTCTGATATCGAACTTATCAAGAATATCAGGTAGGATAACTAAGGTGTTATAGATTTGCGAAGATGGCTACATACCTGTAAGCAGAAAAAAGGAAAATCTCGGTATCTAGACAGTCCATCGAAGTAGGTAAGAGAAACGTAAGAGTCGCGGTACCCTTTCTATATCTGTCTACTTGCGCGTGTATTAAAGGTAGAAGACAGACATAAACACACCGTCGTCTGGGTAAAAAAAAAACTATTTAGTCCGTTAATCACAGAATAGTGAAATATTAGGTACGTATTTTATTTTGCTTCAATTTAAACAATAGGCATTAAGTTTGAGGAGTGAGGGCTTACTACGTCACAGCTTTGTAGAAAATGTACGAAAGTGTGATGTTATGTGACATTTTAACTCGATGTATACCAGTAATTTATTTATTACTCAAAAAAATACGTGTTTAATATTCTTTAATAATGTACCTGATGGATAGAGAGAGAAAAATTGTCTTGATCCCCATTATGCTCCGTTTTTGTACTGCGATCTTCTCTTACTTGAGCCAAGGACCTATATTGTTTTCTCATTGCTGTCACATTGTACAAATTAGAAAGTATTTTCTTGAAACTATTATAAAGTTAAAAACAACTAACTGTAAAGGAGTAACAACGTGTTAATTAAAATCCTCAGTTTCCTCAGTCCCGATTGAAACTGCAGGACCAAACTGCACTGGGCCTTATAGGAAGTTATGACCAGTTGTCCATGTTTGATTTCATTCAAACGGAAAACCTTTGCCCCAGGATTGATAGAAAAGTTCATAACTTATTGTTATTTTCAGTATACCCTTAGAAGAAAGAAATGGTAATTTGCAATATTCACAATGCAGTATGTACAACTTAAACTACAGTGACATACTGAAGAATCATCAAAGTCTTGATGAGGTTATCGCTAGAGACTTGTCAGGTGATATTATACCGTGCAAGAATGGTTGGACTTACGACAAAAATATTTACAGAAACACGGTAGTTACAGAGGTGAGTTATTATCTATTTGTTGTTGAACATTGCCCCCTTTCAAGGTGTTTCAGGCGTTGAAAATAAGTAACTTCCTTATAATGTGTAAATGATTTACGTTATGAAGTTCATCCTTCATATTAATCTTAAAGCGAATTAAAAAGACGATGTATTATTTATTATGTACATTTTCAAAATTCTTTGGACGAGCTTTTTAATCAAAGCGACACATGAACAGCTACGTTCCACAATTATATTCTTCTTAGTTTTTCGTAGGTGAATAAATTTTTATGATAGGATCAGTATTTCCGAAGATAACCCACACAAACAAACAAAGTAAGCAATTTTACCTCTTTTGAATATCAATTAGTCGTACACAAAAATTGTTGCATACTTCATTGATAGCACCAAAATTCTTACCGTCTTTACTTACTCTATTTATTATATTGTGCAGTGGAATTTAGTTTGCAACGACGACTTTCTACCAACTCTGGGACTGGTATTGCTAGCAGCTGGAGGCATCATAGGCAACTACATTTTCGGCTACCTCCAAGACACCATCGGAAGGAAGCCTTCCTTTTTCATATATCTTCTCATTGAATGCATATTCGGCGTCGCTACAGCATTCGCCCAGAACTACGTCGTGTGGGTGATTTATAGGATCGGAGTGGGGTTTACAGTCCCTGCTATTATGGCTACACCCTATGTTTTGGGTAAGTATTTTATTACTTTCATAGATATGGATGTTTCGTTAGTCACAGGTTTTGGAATAATAAGTACTTACAAATAGGATAGGATCTTATAAACTTACGTCTGACTTTGTCGTGGATCCTCTCAACCTTCTAAATGTTTTTGAAGTTAAGCCGTTGGTCCCGGTTGTATCTGTCTTCATTTACACCCACCAATCTGCACTAGACCCGCGTGTTGAGTTAAAACCTATTCTCCATATTTGATTCCGTTGCATAACTTATCCATATATCGGAGATGTCGTTGCTATAGAGAAATTAAATTAACCCACGACACTAGAGTGAGATTAGAATACGTAACCTTTATATGAATTATTTGTTTTGTTTTCAGCAATCGAACTGGTAGGACCTCGATGCAGAACCTTATGTACAATACTATCTAATATTGCGTACTCATTGGGCTTAATACTGTTGGCCGGTGTTGTGTATTTAGTTAGAGACTGGCGTCACTTAGCTTTGGCGACCACTCTGCCATTCGTCTGCTTCTTCCTCTATCTTTGGCCGATGCCAGAAAGTCCAAGATGGTTGTTGGCTCGTGGTCAGTTCGAAAAAGCAGAAGTCATTTTGAAAAATATGGCGAGGTAAGTTTGGTATGCAAATTTAAAGCTTTCAGTATTGCATTGAGCATGTAAAATTTACCAAATACCACAACACTTGCCTTTTTTTTAATCGGTCCATTTGTTTCGGAGCTTTCTCAATGCAAATTCCATATATTAGTATACGTAAATATTTAATGTCTCGACCTTTATTATTTCAGAATAAATGGGAAATCTCTACCTGCCAATTATATGGTACATTTGAGACGAAAATATGAATCAGATAAATTGAAGCAAGACATTGAAAAGGAAAAATTGCGAAAGTACGGTATACTGGATCTGTTCAGGACACCTAATTTACGGAAGAAGACCATAATAATCACGTTCATATGGTTTACGAACACCAGTGTGTACGTCGGTTTATCTTACTACGCCCCGGTACTAGGAGGAGATGAATTCCTAAACTTTTTCCTTGCTGGAATAGTTGAATTGCCAACTTATTTGTTTCTTTGGCCTTCGATGGAGAGATTGGGAAGGAGATGGACTCTTTGCATGAGCATGGTTGTTGGTGGGATTGCTTGCTTGACCACATTTTTAGTGCAACATGGTTAGTGTTAGTCATTTATTTATTTTCTTACATTGTTAGTGTTGAGCTACATATAGCAGCCAGTTATTACGTTTTCGCGTCGGTCGTCAAAATATAATAATTAGAACAAAATTCTCATCTTTGTAGAAAGTTTTAATATTTGTAACAATATTTATTTCGGCTGTTTGGGTGGATGCCTGAACAATTGATGAGAATACGCTCTCTAGTAGCGAAAAGTAACAAGTGCTTGGAAGATTCGTAAGTCCTGTTAGGTCCTGGGTAGCTCAACGGTTAAAGCAGTCGCCCGGATTGCGAAAGGTCGTGGGTTCGATTCCCCCCATCTAAGGGTGCCAGGGATCAAGTGGATTTTTTAAGCATTTTGTATTAAGAATAATTTTCAGTATGACATTGTGAATGCAAAATTAATCAAAATATAATAGATAGCGTATTGCCTATCGCCTCAAAAATACCGGAGTTCTATTGCACATCCGTTACCTCACACAAATACCGGTTCTGAGCGAGAGAAAAGAATAATACAACGGAAGAAGGCTAACCTGTACTGCCAGGTGTAGTTCAGCCCTTAGGAAATATATAAAATCGTACATAACGTGTGTTCGTTTTTATACGTTACATATATATATTACGTTGCGTTTTTATACGAAACCATAATGATGAATGTAATCTTTTTATTTATTTATAGTATAACATCTTTCCTCGGAACAAAAAAATAGTATACCATTCCATTTTATCCTAGTAATATACTTTCAAAATTTTACTGGTTTCGGCAATTCCGTTGCATAACTTCTTTTCTACCATATTTTTAAATTTGTCAAAATTTGCGAAGAGTAGGTTGAGAATGGACCCGTCAGATAATTCTCAGGATTGAACTAAGTACATGGGAAATCACGACTTACGATTCAAACAATATTTTTTTTTACGTGTATATCTGTGTTTCAATAACATACAATTATTTTTAATTATTTCCAGAAACTTATGTTACTCTAGCGCTATACTGCGTGGGCAAGATGGGCATATCATCGTCTTTCGTTGTTCTGCCCCTAATGGCGTCTGAACTCTACCCTACAGTAGTGAGGGGACTCGGTATGAGCTTGAGTTCCGTATTGGGCATGCTGGGCCCAATTTTTATACCACTTGTAAACTACTTAGTAAGTAACTCTCAGATTTATATATAAATAATATTTTAATGGCATTACTAGTTATCATTCGTTTTGCGATTAAGAAGGTTAAACAATAGGGTATTTGACACTATTAAAAATAAGTAGCGTATTATGGTCATCCTGTTAGATAATAATCTAATAAAGCTTATTTCTTAGAATCTACGAATTTTAGTGAACGACGATAACGCCCTGTAATTGGTTATCGTCGCAACCAATAACAGGTTCTGTTTATCGGGATGTGACGTCACACGTAAACAGAAAGCTGTCTTATCAA